AATGATGTTTGTTAACGTAAGACATGGTAAAAGAAATTTAGTTGACTCATGTTCAGCAGATACAAATAGAATCAAAGGGAAGAAAGACTAAGTGGAAGAGAGAGATGAAGCTCTGGGAAAAGATCAGAGCCTGGTCCCTGGGGAGTTGCGACAGATGAAGTAGCTGAATAAGCTGTCTGTCATTGTGTGACTCAGGCTGCTGTGGTCACTTCATTTGTTCAAACTCAACAATGGATAATGGCTGAGAGAGAAATCTCTGTTTTCCCACAAGATTTAGCCCCAAAAATCCCTAGTTGGTGATGCTCTCTGTGTGTGGGGAGTAGTCCTGGTGACAAACTGCGATGCTAATAAAAGTTGGAGGACAGAAAGGTGTAAAGTGAGTGATTCACTCTTATGATGGATGATCAGCAAAGAGGTGCAGGTGTGAAGAGAAGAAACAACTTGAAATGTACTTGAGATACTTGTATAAAAAAGCTTTTGTGCATTTATTGTGCATGTCTAGTAGCAGATACATTAAAATTAGAACATATCAGGACAAATCTAGATGTTCAAGTCATGTTTCCCACAATGTGAAAGGGATTCAAAAATAAAAAATTAAATGTGTGAATAACGACTGTTTATTGACTTGCATGTTAGAGATGCAATGTTATGGCCACATGCAGTATATGTGATGTCAGTGGGCCCGCTTCACCTCTTAATATCAGTTTCCATATGTACAGAAATAACAATTAAACATGTATTTTTAGCTCCAAATTCCAACATTTTAATATCACATTTAATCAAATACTTCACTCCCCCCCAAAATCTGCCATCAATAAGCACATTTAAATCAATCAAACTACAAAGGCTTCACTTCAACAAAGACATATTGTTATAGAAGTGTGCACATACATCGTTAGTCACAATTAATGATCTTTTTATACAACATTTAATCAAATGTGGGGCAGCACGGTGGCGCAGTGGTTAGCGCCGTTGCCTCACAGCGAGAAGGTTCCAGGTTCGGGCCCCACCTAGGACCTTTCTGTGTGGAGTTTGCATGTTCTCCCTGTGCTTGCGTGGGTTCTCTCCGGGTACTCTGGCTTCCTCCCACAATCCAAAGACATGCAGCTTAGGTTGATTGGTGTCTCTAAATTGCCCATAGGAGTGCGTGTGTGTGGTTGTTTGTCTATGTGTTAGCCCTGCGATGGATTGGAGACCTGTCCAGGGTGTACCTCGCCTTCGCTCGATTGCTGGCCGGGATTGGCTCCGCCAGCATACTTCCACTAAAAGTGGAAGTTAAAGTACCCTGAAAATAAAGTTAATATAAAGACAAATATTCTAACAACTGTCACTTATATATGATTGGAATAGATTCATTTTAGCATTATATTGCTAGTTTGAAAAAGACATTTAATGGTTCTAGGTAAACTGGTGTTGTCTTGTATTCAGGATGCTGTGGTCCATCATTGACACCTAAAAGGTGCATTAACTCAGATTTTACACATTGTCTGTTAAATCCAGTGAAAATGGGACAGAGTGTCATAGGATACCTCCAAGCAGCCAGAGCACTCTGACTGGCTTCAGATGTATTGTTCTTCCTTCTGGATGTGTTAGCAGCTAAAGCTTACATGTTTGTTTTGGTAACATTAGCAACAAAGCATGGTCCTGAGTTTACCTTTGTGTTGAATAAAATGAATTTACATTGGCAGTAACTCGAGCTTTGTGTAACATCAGTGCTTTTTGTCACATTAGCAGTAAAAAAGAGCGTTCTACTGGACTGACACATTTACTCATTAGCCAGCTAACACTAGCTTCAGACTGGAGGCTGCATTTTTGTACAGTTTGTCAAAACTGGGCACCCATAGTTTACATCATTGCTAGGAAACAGAATGAGATGGGAGGGGCAAAGAGCGGTGAGCAGCAGATTATGGTGTCAGTTTGTTTGAGTCAAGGGTGTCCCAGTTTGTCCAGTTTCAAGCGCTTTCTGCAGAATGTTGTTGTTTGTGTGTGTGTGTGTGTGTGTGACAGGTTACCAGAGTGTAGACAAAAGAAGGGTCAGTGACCAAATGTGAGCACTTTTCTTCTCCTCATTTCCCTCTTCCCAACTTCTCTGTCTCTCTCTCTCCTGACACATGCATACACGCCACAGACACTGACATGCATGCTAACACACACAAACACACTGGCACACACTCACATATATGCATTCAAACAAATCTGTGAGAGGAGAGGAGCATATGAATGGACAAATTAATCAGATTATAGCAAAGACACACTTAAACAGCCTGTTCTCTGGATTAGACACGGTCCTGCCTACTCCCTGTCAGAATGAGACAGAGGAAGGGGAGAGGAAGAGAGACAATATCTTTTCATTATATATATCCAACATGCATACCTATATTTCTTTTTGCAACTTGTTACTTTTTATATTATTTCTCTTTTTGTCATTTGTGTTACTTTATAACAGGCATTTTAAATCCTGTATAATGTATGTGTGTAAGTATGTATGTAGGATGGTGAGACTTAGATATGAGGAAAAAAATGCAAGCAAAATGTTCAGTAACATAAGGGGAAGAAAAATCCATGTGAATGGGCAACTGACTGTATACCTGTCTATATATTTTAACAGGAGGAAGTTTTGATTTCTCCCTGAGAAGTTCAAACAGTGCTGCAGAAGGGCAGCATATGGCAGCAGTGACCAGGGCTTTGTCTGACTATTGACGCCACAGAGATGCAGAGAGGGAGGATGCAAGTGTGTGCGAGTGTTCGGGTGCCGGAGGACAGCCTAACATCAACAAAGGACCGGCTTTAAGCCTGTCTCCTGTGATTTTCCAACTCAGCGAAAAGCTATTGTAGCACTGAAAAAGTAAAGTTAAAAAGCTTAGCATGGTATGTGCTAACAACTGCCCGTTGCTTGTGTAATACAAGCAAATACTTTTTGAGCAGTCGCAGTCACACTCCTGCGTACAACTGCTGTGCAGGTCAGTGCTATGATCTGCTGATTTGAGATGTGGAGGGCACGTTACTTATAAATGAAGTATGTGCTAGTTTATCTTCTAATACCACTAACATATAGTCGACTTCAGTAGCCTGATGAATCACAAATTATGGTGCCCCAGTCATGCCTATCATCATGGAAACATTTCCCTGTGCCACTTATGGGGCTTTTGTCTTTGGTTGTGTTGTGTGTTTGGATGTGTTTTCTGTGTTTACAGCTTTTTTCCTAAATGCTGGACATGTGTTCATCAAAATAATTAAACATTTTCTTAATTTACTTGTGTTTTGTTTACTTGTATGAGATTTATGCCTCCTCGCCAGCAATAGCTGTATCCCGAGGCGTTATATTTTCTGGTTGTCCTGGCTGGCCGTTCAATTCTCGTCAACTTGATATCTCTCAAACGACGATGAACTGATTAGATTTTGATGGTCAAAGGTCAAGGTCACAGTGACCTCAAGTCTGTCCCATTCCTGTAAATTTTACTGGTTTGCAGAGGCAGACAGCCATGAAGTGGTAAGTCTTAAGTTGCAGCATGCTGATCTCTCTGAGCCAAAATGAATACATGATCTTGACTAGTCTTTCTTTTCTTTCCCTCCTCATTATTTTACTCTGACTTCAGTCATCAAGACTATGACCTTTGTATTTATGTATGTGCGTGCTAATGTGCTCCATGTCGACACTTAATGCAGTTTGTCCTCTGTAGTTGCAGCAGATGTCTGATCATCAGTCATCCAATTTCACTGTCTTGCTCTTGTGTTTATTGTGTGTGTTTATATGAGACTGTGAACCAGATGAGTTTCTTTGATGACTACTTCTACACTCCCAGTGGTTGCAAAATGCCATACACACATATGCATGCACACAAACACAGTCATACACAGAAAGAATACTGAGGCAGGGGCAACTGGGACTAAATCCAGATTGGTGGTTTCTCTCTGCAGTTATAAATACCCCTCTGCTTAAAACAAGATCACACACACACACACACACACACACACACACACACACACACACACACACACATACACGTTGTGTTTCCACTACTTCAAGGGACATTAGATCAACTTACACTACTTTCCTGGATCCTTACCCTTAATAGTCTGCATTTTGAGGGGTTTCTTTTTGTCCCCATAAGGACATTGAGTCCCCATAATGTGGCTCTGTAAGCACACTTATGTCCCCACAACATGAGTAATACCAGGCCACCCACACAGACACAAGCACTGATGTTCCTGTACAGAAACTCAATATAAAGGCCTAAATTCACAAACGTACCACATCACACACTAATACCAGTACAAATACACAGCTATGCACATATCCATGAACACAGCAACACACATAAAACACTCCCTCTCTCACACACACACACACAAATATTCACACACAGAGATGGCTCCAGCCTCAGAGGAGGCTTAAGTGGTCTATGATTACGGGGTGTGTCTTTGTCTCATTTAGTGGTACCACAAGGAGACAGTCTTCTGCTGTGTCAGACAAAGTCACTCTCTCTCTTGTACACACACACACATGCAAATACCAACACACACTCACTTCAAAACAACACTGTTAGCTTGCCCTTTGGGGAAACTGGCAACTTAAAAATGGCCATATACAGTATGATAGCATTTTTGGTAAGGTTTTGCTTTGCCTGGTTTGAGACACTTCAAAGCTCACTAAATGTTAAGGCATCAGTTGTGCACAATAGATAGGAGCAGTTATTACTTTAAGGTTAAACCGCTGCCAGTATCACAACACAGCGGAAATTTTAACCAAGTCTTCATCAGTCTATTTTATTCTTAAGTGCATGTAATTTAAAGGAAAAACATATAAAATCACTCTGCACCAGACATTCTGTATTTCAATCTTTTTATTTTGGAAAAATATCACGCTGTTTTCCAGTAATAAAATTGACAGTCTCTGTACATACGACTTTTCTCTTAAATACAACACAGTCACAGTGGTCTCAAGTGCCTAACACATACATACTTACTGTACATACATACATTATCTGCCAAATAAAAACAATTCAAGTTAAATTATAACGGCTTTAACAAAAAAAAAAAACCTTCACAACAAAATGGAACACAAATAATTACATATTTAAATTAAAAGAATACATCTTTCTTTTGATAACAAATAAAACAAATGATCCTGACCAGTGGCAGGCAGGATGATGGTGTCCTTTAACTGGCTAATAGTGGAAGTGGGCAGTGCATACATCTGACACCGCACGTCTTCTGTACACACATACACGCACACCTCCATAGTGCAATGAGGTCTTGGAAGTTAAGACTGGTCCATAATAGCTCAGCTTACTTGGAAATACAAAAGCATCATCAGAGGGTGTGACAATTTTGTAGTAAGCAACTTTTTTAGGTAATTTAGTCAAAGAATTGTGGCCAGAGAAGCTGCTGTGATATTGAGTAGCACAAATATTAAACAAAATCCTGGAAAAATTATGATTGGTTAAATTAACTTCCTTTATGTTTTGTCTGATTTGTTTATGCCTTTGTTTGTCCTCTAATGCTGGAAGTATGTCCCAAGTTGTCCTGCCCAAAACACTGCCCTGTGTATCACAACCTTCAGGGGTCAGAGGCCAGTATGGCCCAACAGGATCCACGTTGGATCAATCTGCAGTCACTACTGGAGTCTTCAGTTCTCTAGTTTCTGCTGAGAACCAGCTCAGCCCAGACTGACTCTGTCAGTGCTGCAGAGCTAAAGATGTACAGTTGCGGCTGAAGTACTACTGCTTTTCATTTTGTTGTTTTGGTTTGTCCTATTGAGATTTACTGAATTACTTCGTAACAGTAAAGTAACTACAGCCGCTGCTGCAGTACAGATAAAGTACAGGGATTTTGAACTCCACCCTCTACCTCTGCAGCACTGCACAGAACATGAACTGTCCAATATTCACGACAGCTTTTACACTGCATTGTAAAACCACAGCTCATAACAGTACATCAATTGTTCTCAGTACTCCAAAGGTACAAAACTGTTCATTTAATCAGTACTCCATGGTACTACAATATCATCAGTCAATATTCTGCTACACTGTTTATCAGTAAATAAACAAGAGTTCATCCTGTACTGAAACAGTCATCAGACGAGCTCGCCATCAGTTCTCCAGCCATCATTGCTGACTGCATGAATTCAGCACTTTTTCTGTACAAGGGCTGTACGAGTGCTAGCAGTCTTTGTACTCCATCCATAGTACTGAGTCAGCACCAGACCTACAGCCATTGAGGGTCAAAAATGTCCTGTATTCACCTGTAGCACTACTGAAGTACAAAGTTCTTGCCAAGTCAGTACTGACTCCGCTCCTGCTCAGCAGCACCCTGGCTCAAAATCCTGTGGTACATCCCAGGGAACAGCAGCAAACAGCAGGAGTAAAACCTCCTGGAGACCAGCTGAGCTCTGCTGCTCAGGGCTGGTGTGTGTGGACCATCAACCAGTAGGAAACTGGTCTGATCTGATCCAGTCTGGATTGGTATCATACCTGTCATACAGAAAAAACATCAAAGTTTAGTGTGCCTTTACAAGTGCTAAGGAAAGTTGCAGTTATTTTATACATTTATATGATTCGATTTTTGTGTACTCACCTCTGTAGCGATGATACATTCATCTTTTTGGTCTGACATTACATAGACAGACTGGTATTTGGTGTCAGTGGTACTCTGGTAGTCAATGTCACTGGTAGACTGGTATTTAAGATCACTTGCTGCTTGATAGTTCAGTTCGCTGCACGGCTGATAAGTAGCTTCACTGCAGCTTGGTGAGTCTTCCAAGTGTTTCTTTTGTGATGCGTCACTGTGGGATGGAGAAGAAGACAAACATTCAGAAAGGCTGTCCTTCACACAACACATGCAACAAATGTAGATGTTTTCATTACATTTAGGATGATACATGTGCATTTTAGTACCTGAATTTTTAACTAGCTTAGTTTAAGGTATGCATGATACTAAATTTCTGAGCAGTGTATCTATGTATGTATATATTTTGACAGCCGTGTACCTGTTACGTCTCTTCCTGTAGCTTTCCTCTGAGTCTGACTCATCCAGCATTTCACATTTAACCTCGGGCACATCATGCTCCTCTTCTTTACACAGTGACAGCTCCTCAGGTCGGAGTTCATGGACCAGGTTGTACTCCACGCTAGGGTAACGAGTCTTAAAGCCGTTCTTCTCTGATCCATTGAGTCCACTGATTCCACTCAGACCACCCAGTGATCCAGCAAGGTCTGCATGGTAATCAGCCTTCTTGTTGGTGTTTTTAATTGACGTTGTCATCGTTGGGCCCAATTCCTTGTCACTGCGGAGACAATTGTTGGTGGTTGTCAGGTTGTTCATGGTCTCGTGGCTGTCACTGTGGATACTGTCGCCGTGGTGACTGTGCCGCTCCTGCAGTTTGATCCGAATGTAGACCACCAGCACCGAGCAGCCGATCAGGATCACAAGAACAAGGAAGACGCCAGCGCACACGGCTGTCCACGGAAATCTGCTGTCGTCATCCTCCTCGCCTTCAACATTTCCAGTTTCTGAGGAAGAATATCGGCGATCCGGTCCATCCGCCACCTCTGGTAAGAGGAACTGGCAGTTGTGACCACCGTAGCCGGGCACACAAGCGCACACGTAGCGGCCACCACGCTCATGGCAGGTGGCTCCATTGTGGCAGGGGTTGTGATAGCAGCGGGAGATGGGGGAGCTGCAGTTTTTTCCAGTATAGCCTGCAGAAGAAGCAGAGTTTAAAAGTATAGAATATAACTAATATATAAAGCTGCACAATACCGTGTTTTTTGATAGCTGCTATACCTGGAGGGCAAGTACAGGTATAGCCATTCACTCCCTCCTGGCACGTCCCACCATTCTGGCAAGGGAAAGACAGACATTGTCCAGAGATGCTGCTGCTGTCCTCACACTTAGGACCAAAAAACCCCTCAGGACACTGACAGAGGTAGGAGTTCACCAGATCCACACATTCTGCACCTGCAGAGGGGAGAGGGATGGAGGCAAATAGGGTCAGACAGCTCCTCCCCAGATATTTTAATACTGTAATTCTTGGTCTAGCTTTTTGATTGCGGGTGAAGGTAAATGCACAAACAGAAGACAACATACCATTTAAGCAGGGGTTGGAGGAGCAGTGGTCGATTTTCTTCTCACAGTTGAAGCCAGCGTATCCCACTGGACACTGGCAGAAGTAGCCACCTTCAGGGTTGTCGATACAGCGTCCGCCATTGAAGCAAGGCCCATCTGCACAGGTATTGGCACTCAACTCACAGCTGTTGCCATAGAAACCAGGTGGACAAGTGCACTTGTAGCCACTGTCATTATCCTATATTGCAACGAACATAATCAGTGGTTACACACAGCCCTGCTGCCATGAATATAGATGGTTTTATCAACACACCAACTCTCCCACTTGATACTCACAGTGCAACTGCCTCCATTACGACATGGGCTTCCTGAACATTTGTTGACCTGGAGCTCACAGCTGGCACCTGTGTATCCTGGTGGACAGGAGCAAGTATAGCTGCCCTGGCCAGTGTTGGTGCATGTGGCTCCATTGAGGCAGGGCTTATGGTGTGTACAGTAGTTCAGATCTGGATGCATCAACAATAAGCAATATTTATAAGCAACACGGTGTAAATATAAAGCAACAAGGAGAGAGAGAGTTCCAAAAAATCACAGCAACATCTCACTGTATACTCACCCTGGTTGCAGAAGAGCCCGCCCCATCCCTCCTGGCAGTTGCATTGCCAGGGCTGTTGACAGGTGCCATGTAGGCAGCCTGGATAACGAATGCAGTCATCACAGTAACGCCCACTGAAGCCCACACGACACCTGAGAACACAACATTCATCAAGTACTGTATAGTAAAAACAAGTAGAGATGTGCAACATTCATTTATTTATGATCCATCTGGTGGATGGAAAGAATGAAGTTCCATGGTGTCCAAACTTACTTGCACTCTCCTGGTTTATCACAGAAGCCATGTTCTTCATCACAGCCGGGAAGACAAATTGCTGCAGAGAGGAAACAAATACTGACAGGTGAATTATGGAAAATCCAGTGTCGGAAACGTGTTTGCCCTCCATCAGTCTCCCATTCACACAAATTCTCTAACAGCCCTATGGCAGCTTTGGTCACCAAGGGGGGAGGCAGCCAACAAGCCCTCTCCAACACAAAAGCATCCCACACAAAGCCTCCTTTCTCCCCTTGACTGTGGGTCAGAAGTCCCTTTTCTCACCCTTGGCCCATCTCCTCCTCTTCCCTCCTCCCTTCCTCTTCCATCCACCTATCCCCTCTCTTCTCCTCCTCTCTTCTTCCTCTCCTCTACACTCTCCTTTCCCCCCTCCCACATCTCCTCACTCCCTTCATCCTCCCCCAGGGCCAGCTGGTCTCTGTGAAGCTAACCACCAGACAGCTGCTCCATTGTCTCCTCTCACCCAGCAGCTGCCCCCTCCACAACAATACACAACCCTGCTCGGCCAATCCCCCCCCTCCCCCAGCACCTCCCCCCTCCACAAAAATACACACCCCTGCTCGGCCAATCACCAGCTCGAGCCGCAACAATACAGGACCCCCACTTGGCCAATTGGGGAGGAGGTTTGGAGCGAGGAGGCCCCAGTGGTCTAATGGAAGGCACGCGGCGTGTGAATTACTGAGGAGCCAGAGCGGCTCATTAGAATGGAGGCCTCTGGTGCTATGGGATAACTAACAGACGCCTGTTGCACACGGGCCCTGCATTAGAAGGCGGAAAAGTCCCTAAACAATAACACCAGGCAAGTAGAGAAACTAACTTTGAGTTACTTTGAGAAACCGCAAAAATTCACAACTCTCAAAATCTCACTGATGTTAACGTATGGCTCTTTAGTTTTGACAACATCAGCACAAGATACTCATGTTCCTGCGCTGCTCCTTCCTACAAGCATGTGTCAGTGAATTCAAATACTAACTAAGGCAATAAGGGAATAAGTGGTATAGATAATGGATGGATGGAACTAAAGCAATACTGCTAAGATGAAGCACTGTTTTTTCTATGTTTTATCCTCCATTATGGCCTTTCCTCATGTTGCTCCTTACAGCCTGAATGATAACATTGGATTAATAAGTAAACCCACTTACGTTCAGTGCAGTACTGGCCCTTCCAGCCAGAGTTACATATGATCTCCCCACGCTCGCCGCAAGTGAAGTGTCCAAAGGCATCGTCTCGTGGCCGGCAGAAGACAGAGCAGCCATCGCCGTAGTAGTGCTCATCACACAGGAAGCGATAAGAGTAACGCAGCTCCGTCCTTCCGACTGTCTGCATGTCTTTGGACCATTCTTCTCCCACAGCGAGGTGACGCTGAGCGGTGACTCTGCTGATCAGACGCTCTGGGTTGTCTGCAAAAGCAAAGGATGCAGCTTGTTGTTGGTCACATGTTGTTACTGTTAATATTTTGGTTAAATGCTAGTATCAAAATTTTACACTGCAAAACAATCATCAGATTATCCATGATCTCCACCACTACAATCAAACAAACCCACTCCTGTGCTGCCAGTTAGCTGTCACTAGTGCAGCATATGAAGATAGCAACAGTAAATATTTCACCCCAGGGACAAATTTTAACTGGCACCCAAGAAAAAACGAATAGTCTTTACTCTGTGTGATGGTAAAGAACCCTAGCAGTGTAAAACATAAAATGAAGTCACTTTTTTTTTTAGCATTTCAAAGATGTGTAATCGAAAATTCACAACATGTTTTGGTTTAATCTGATGAAATATGAGCCATTTTCCTACATTGGGGCAGCTGCTATTATAAGGCTACACAACTAAGAGGTAATGTAGCATGCAGTCATCTATTTTTTAAAGAACAATGTGAGAACATAAGTCAATATACTTCAATTAGCTATACACAAAATACCTTAAAAAAGAAAAATATGAAACATTCATGAACTTTGTGTTCCACTAATGACCGAGCACTAAGTGAAAACGCATGCTACCCATAGAAAATAAGGCCACTATCCTTCTGGCCTGTCTTTGAGTTACACTGCTGCCTTCTCTGGCTGCCACCCACCTGTTGTCAGGTCGTCCAGGGAGTCAGTGTGCAGCGCTTCAATGATCAGCGAAAACGTCCCCTGAGGAGAGACAGAGAGAGTCAACAGTTGCTTGGCCTGCAGGTCTCCTTCCCTGCGCAGAGCAGCAGAGAGCCATTAGGAGGCCTCCCAATAAACTTCACAGCCTAATTCCCGTGTTGATTAGAGGCCTAATAAGGGCTACTACCTGCTCCCTTTTCACACCCCTGCTACTATCACACTCTGACACCACCTTAAATCCAAACGAGGTGGAATTTCACGCTGCGTTGCCAATGATGTGCCAGAGGATGTTAAATTTCCCACCATGCTTGGTCGGAGGAGAGAAGCGTTTGGTGAAACGCACCCCCCTCACACAGACACACACACACACACACACACACACACACACACACACACATCCTCCCCTCCCCTCCCAGTTTCATCCTACCAAAGAGCACAGAAATACTACAATAGCCCCTCTCACACAATGCTGACAAAGACCCTCACAAGTGTTGGATTTGGGAGCATCTGTTGCGTTTTGCACTCTTCAAAGCTAATATGTCCCACTGGAATAGGACCATAATAACTTCACAGTATGCCCATGGTTTCCATTACTCTCCCAAATGTGACATTAATCAGAAGACCGCGTGAATCAAATTAACATAAATTAAATCCATATATACTTTGGGGAAGTTGATGTCTTTGGCGGGGAAATGCCAAAAAGAACAAAATTTCAATTGACAGATTATCATTAAGTGCTGTTTCAATGCAGGGGATATGTGATGTGATAAATAATATGCCTCACAAGACGTGTGTAAACACTCACGGGCCACGTGAAGCCGAAGGGAAAGCGGATTGGGTTGGTGAAGCTGTCTGCGTTGGTCTCCGGCACCTGGAATGAGTTAGAGCCGAGAACAGGAGTCACGGTCCCTCCGTAGGTGCAGGGAGGCTCGGGGGAGACGCTGGCCTGGTAATGCTTCAGACAAACCCGAAAGAAAGTCTTGCATTCACACTGCTGCTGGCCCTGCAAATGAGCGGAGCCTCCTGGGCAGCAGTTGGCGTTCCCCGTTACCCCTTTCTTGTTGAGAAACTCCTGCAGCTTCAGCTCAAATACTCCAGAGCACAAAACCTACAGAGCAAGACACAAACACAGTCAACCCAGTGTGTAACTTCAGGCTGTTTTGGAAATACTAACATTATTCTTTAACTATTTTGCATCGACAAACTTTAGACAAACGCGTCTAGCGTTTTAATACCCGTAAATATTATGGGCTTAGTTTTCAATTGACCTACCTGGCAGGTGAGTAGGGAGAGGGTGACAAGGAGCAGATACAGGCGTCCCATTGTGTTGACAGCCCTTCAACAAGCAGTGAAAGCTCCACAGGTCCGAGCAGTCTGGCTCAAACAATCATGGAGAAGGTTTTAAAAGCTTTCCGTTATGTCACAGTCAAGGTGAACTCTTGACGCGCAGGAGGGACGATGAAGAGAAACTTTGGTGTGTCTTTCTGCCCCTCTGTTCTCCCATGCAAAACACGACTTTTTGACAGAATGATTTTTAAAAAAAGCTTTACAGTGTAAAGTAATCCTCAGCTGAAGGATCCCCTTGGAGAAGCGTGAATGAAATCCCCGATGGAAATATAAGAGAGTTAATTCCAATCAATCGGCGTAGGAGAATGATGCAGCTCTTGATGGCCTTGTTTATTTTTCCACTTGCTCGGTAATGATATGCTGATCCTGTACACAGAAAACAAGTCTCCGTCTCTCGCTGCCACTGTCTCTATAACAGTGCGTATGTCTGATGGATCTCCTCCTTTACACAGGGTTTTATACCGGGCCAGCAGGCGAAGGGTAATAAGATGCAAATGAGCCCCTCTGCTCCTCTGCTTCCCCTCCCTCCACCGCCACCACAAGTCCGCCCCGGGGCCATCACAAAGAAAGAGGAGGGGGGGAGGAGAAGGGGTGCACACAACTTTTGTAAACCCGCCCCCCACCACCCTCACCCCCTTCTCTCAAAGGGACAGACCAAATGGCTAGTGAGCTGTTAAATGTGCAACAACCCCTTGCTTCCCCTAATGCCTCCCTCCTCCACAGCACTACACACAGGCCCCATTTACATTCCGACAAGATTCTTTAACCTCTGCACTAAATCCTCCACATCGCAGCGTTACGTGATTTATATACGCAGCAGCCAGTCCGAGAGTGGCTTTTTCCCCTTTTTTTTTTATTT